AGAGTACGTTATTTTTGTTTCCATTCTGACCACAAGTATTGTAGTTAATGCAGACATGATTCCATGTAAAAAGGTTTCAGTTTGGTGTTTCAACATCTCAACACCTGTTTTGTTGCCAGAAAAAAATGGGAAAACCTATTCCCTTAAAAATGTGTGTGTTTAATATTTACGTGTTTTCCTTTATTTAAGGCCCCTTCATAACATATGCTACAGGCCCCGCACTAGCTGCATTCGGCACTGGCAGTCCAGCCATCATCAATATGTCTCAAGTAGTGGCCGCATCTTTCCCCTGTGATGTCCTCCTCGTCGTCAAGCCATTCTCTGTGAGGTCTCCTTACGGTTCCTTCCATGTTTTCAAACAACACTTTTAATTCTCCTGTTGTTGTCCATCCTACCAACGTGTGTCCAGACAGTGTCAATGTCCTTCTCATCACTGCCTGCATCATCGTCTTCTTCTCTGCGCAAACCTTTTTTTTTGATTGCGTCTACGCTGGTCACCCGTTGGGTCCAGCTTTGTTGCAAACATCCTTCTGCGGTAATGCATTTCGAGTGCCAATAGCTTATCTCTGTGAGAACGCAACCATATATACGTGAATTTTCTCCAAATCTTTCCGCTTGTGAGTTGAGCTTTCTGACCACACCGCTACTGCAATCAGACGTGGAAAATAATGGGCATATGTTTTTGCACCGGCCCTGAATTTTGAAAATTCCGCTTTGAAAAAAAATTATTCACACAAGACTCAAATCACTCACCTCCTGACTCCTGAGCTGTATTTTTTATTTTAATATGGACACCAGCTGACACATGTATGTCATCGACTGACTATGTGTTACTTGTTGACACATTTTTCAAAACTGAAAACGTCAATGTTCTTCACAATATGTCACTAGGGACAATAGATACGAAGTCACATCACCCTGTGGCACACATAGACGGCCAATAACCTACTTAACACGTTACGTTGATCGTATGCTTGTGTATATAAGCAATAGGATGAATATCGTGTGAGTCTTATCTGAGTCACATATATGCACAAATGATAAACATTTACTTATTTTTTTCACTACTTTTAAAACCGATTTAGCCTGGCGGCGGTGGTGGCTACGCAACGCGGCAGTCCGGAATCCTGCATTGCGGAGGCAGAAGCGAGGGTTAGTGGATCACCGCACAAATGTTGTGACACTCCCACCGCGTGGGCATTGAGGAGGTACAATACCCGGGCTTGCCAGGAGAAGGGCGGTACAGCAAAATGTTGACTCCACGTGTTCCATATGTACGGCGATAGAGCGTTTCTCCCTCGCACGCGTGGGTTTTCTCTGGGCGCTCCGGTGTCCTCCCGACACGTGAACGCTCGTCAGTTGGCCTATGACATCTTCATATGTAGAGGAATGCAGAGCTTGGGGGAGGGATTTTGACGCCGGCTCACCCGTGTGGCTCCTGCCTTCCCCCGCTCGTTCCTGGTTTCTCCTCGGGCTTCTGAGTCGTCCCCCCCTCTCGCTCTCTCTCTGTGTCTCTAGTTGAGAGTGAGCGAATTCTGCACGTCGCGTTACAATTTGAATCTATTGCGATTATACTGATTTAAAATCAGCCTCTCGACCTGTAAATGTTTACCAATATAATGCGTGTTGTCGTTATGAAAGCATTTGTCAGCTGCTAACATCTCGAGACCATTTTAACATTGGGGGGGGGGGGGGGGGGGGGGTGAGAGCAAGCATATGAAGGAATCATTACTGATGGAAAATTGTGTTAGGTTTGCACTGCTGTGCTTAATATTTAGCTTCTCTTATTATCATTTTCGTTGTTGTTCTCCAAGACGGCACGACATCAAGACTGATAATAATACGTAACTCCCAGCTGCGGCATGGTTCACAAACATGTTCGTGACAAAAAAAAAACGAATTCAAAGCTGAAAAGTGCGCGCAGAAGCGTGCGAGAGGAGGCACGGTTGGAGTTTGATTGAGAGACGGAAAGATGAAGCGCGCGGATAGGCGAACGCACGCAGGCAACTGACACAATTTGTACTGTTAAGAAGGGCACGCTTGCCTACGTACGGTGCGAAAGAAGTTCAACGTGCATTGCCTACGTACATAGGCGGGGCTTGGGAAGGACGCGCCGACGGACGGGACGACAGACGATGGTCGACAGCGGCGAAGGAGTTTCAAGCCGAGGAATGGAACAGCCGCGAGAAGGACGTCCGCAGAGGAGAGGTGGAAACGTTGAAATCAGCTCGTGCGCGGCAGGCCCCTCTGGGTGCAATCTGTCACCTCCGATTAGCACGGTTGGCTACGTACGGTGCGAATGAAGTTCAACGCGCATGCTTGTGCACGTCTCGTCCAATAACTGGCTTCATCCAGCGGTGGATTGATCGCGGCCCCTGGGTCCCAGGCGCCGTGCGGCAGCTCACGCGCTCGTTCTGCGAAATGGCCCACGGGGCAATTCGAGCGCACGGTTCCCTGGTTGCGGTGACGGTCACCCGTCAGGAGAAAGCCCGTGGCCGTGGCCACTTCGGGCGAGCGCAAGGTGTCTGTGTGTGTGTGTGTGTAAGGGAGCGGTGGTGCAGCGGTTAGCGCTACGCTGCGCTACAAACCCGGCGACCCGGGTTCGATTTCCCGCTCACGGCCAACACCGGTGATGATTATCTGAACCGGTCCTGGGCCTCCCCTAGGTCGACTCAGCCTCAAATGAGTACCTGGTGCGATGTGTACACGTCGCCGAAGGCGGCCGGGCGTGGTGCTGGCCACCCACCCCCTCGTGTGCCGTTCCGGCCTTTATAGGTGCTCGCTAACAGCACTTGCCTCAACAGTCTGTTAAGGCTACACGGGGGATCTTTTTTTTTGCGTGTGCTCTTCACCCGACTCTCTGCTGTTTCCATTCCACCTACCGGCCCGCCTGCCTGCGTGAGTGTGTACGTATGTGTAATTTTAACTACATCTGCTGCTGTGCCGTGTCGTTCTCTGTGTATATGAGTCGATAAACGTGGTTGTGTCTTTGTGTGTGAGACTATTGAGGAGCCGTAGTGCAACGGTTAGTGCGCTGCGCTACGAACCCGGCGACCCGGGTTCAATTCCTGCTCACGGCCAACACCGGTGACGATTATCTGAACCGGTCCTGGGCCTCCCCTATGTGGTGCGGTGTGTAAACATCGCCGCTGGGGAGACAAAGGCGGCCGGGCGTGGTGTTGGCCACCCACCCCCTTCTATTTACAGAGCCGCAGCCAAAACGCATTTCTCTTCAAGGGAACGCTGCACACACGCGCGTGCACGCAGCCAAAACGCATTTCTCTTCAAGGGAACGGTGCACACACGCGCGTGCACGTGCGTGTGTGTGATTTGATGCGGCCAACCACCAGTGACGATTATCTGAACCGGTCCTGGGCCTCCCCTGGGTCGACTCGGCCTCAAATGAGCACCTGGTGCAAGTGTGTAAACGTCGCTGCTGGGGAGACAAAGGCAGTCGGGCGTGGTGCCGGCCACCCACCCCCTCGCGCGCCGTTCCGATCTTCGTTGGTGCTTGCTAACAGCACTTGCCCCAACAGTCTGTTAGAGGCTATACAGGGGATCTTCGTCTGAGACATTGGAGTGCGTTAGCGCAACGGTTGGCTCACTATGCTGCAAACCTGACGACCCGAGTTCCATTCCCACTGACGGCCAACACCAGTGGCAGATGTCTGAACTGGTCCTGAAACTCCCCTCGATAAATGCAGCCGTAATAATGAGTACCTTGATGCTGTCCACGCAGACTCCGTGGCGCCTTTCATAGGCCCCAAGAGTCTATGTAGGCTGTACGGGCATCGTGTTCTTTGCATGTGATTAGGTGTGCATGTGATTTTGCTACGAGGGGCATGTGCTTGTGTGCGGGGCGGCTAAAACGACAGAAAGTTGCCACAGTAGGGGGCACAGGTGGTGCATCGACCAGTCATCTCAGTCGGTCAACCCATGGCACCTGGGTCTATTCCGTAACCTCCTGTCGGCGAGCCTTCGACACTTCACTCTGTCTCAAGGTGCACTTGGCCTGGCACGAGTGCCGCGGTGATGTCGTCGCAATGTAGTGGTGAACGGCAGTCAATTTATCTGAATGCGGCCTGCAAGTCCACTAGGTTGACTCGGCCTAAAATGTGTACGTAATATAGTGTGGAAAAAACATAGGCAATTTGAAGAGCCAATAGGCAATTGGAAGATCAATGTAACTAAATACAAACGTGACAACCCCCTATCAGTGCCCTACCTTATTAGGGACCAATTAAGACCGTATTGGTCATGCGGTGCCCTTACAAATCTCAAAGTTCATCGCACAAAGTCCCAACACTAGGGGAGAAGCACAAACAAATAGACAAAAAAATGTTTCGGTGCCCGTATTGAAACGTCTGTACGCCGTACGGACCTGGAAACTCAATGTCCCTGCTGTACAGGAGTACGGTTAGCCCGTAGGGTTTGACGGGTACGTAAATGAGTGCGTTGATGGTCACGCAACTCACCCGCCGCTAACAGAGCAGACCCCTCGGCTCTTTTTACTTTCGATGCGTTTGGTCTGTCCATCTTTTTTTGGGGGGGCTTTTTTTGACCAGCCGATCTCTCGGACGGTCCTTTGCTTCGCCGGGCGAGAGACGCGATTTGAGACGAGGATCCTCTTGCGGTGATCATCGCGACGTTAACACGCGGGAGAAATGGGAGCTCACCGGCTACGCATTTGGTGCATAGAAACGAATAAAAGACTAAACCGCTTGACGCCAAACAAAATTATCTCTGCTCTTGCATCTCTCCCAGGGTCCGTATTCGCTGCTCCGTGGCTATTTACTCCTCTCCCCTCTACCGTACCCCCTCGGCTTACCCCCCTTATGACCAATCCCTCTGACTCAGGGTCCCTCTGCGCAACCCCGTGGCCACCCTCCTACACGCCCATCCACCCACCTACCTCCTCACCACCCATTCCTCCTCCTCCTCCCTCTTCCTCCTCCTCCTACCCACCCACCCTCAGCCCTCCCCGTGTCTCTCCCCTCCTGTCTCACTCGCGCTCCCTCCCCCTTGCTCCCTCCCCTCCTTGCTCTCGGTCCCTGCTCTCCCGTCTCTCAGTTGCCACGGCGATGCTCGCAGGAGCGGCTTCCCTCGAGGCGCGCAGGAGCGAGCGACACCGGCGAGCAGGAGATGCGGCAGCCGGCCCGGCGCTGAGCCACACAAAGTGGCACAGTGCCAGGTGAGTTTGTGCGAGTATGTGTGTGTGTGTATGTGTGTGTGTATGTGTGTGTGTGGGGAGCGGTAGTGTAGCGGTTAGCGCGCTGCGCTACGAACCCGGCGGAGACAAAGGCGGTCGGACGTGGTGGTGGCCACCCACCCCCTCGTGTACCGTTCCGGCCTTCACAGGTGCTCGCTAACAGCACTTGCCCCTACAGTCTGTTAAGGCTACGCGGGAGATCTTTGTCTTTATCTTTGTGGTGAGCGGCGGTGTAGCGGTAAGCGCGCTGCGCTACAAACTCCGGCGGTTCCCGCTCACGGCCTCCCCTAGGTCGACTCAGCCTCAAATGAGTACCTGGTGCGGTGTGTAAACATCGCCACTGGGGAGACAAAGGCGGCCGGGCGTGGTGTTGGCCACCAACCCCCTCGTGTGCCGTGCCGACCTTCATAGGTGCTGCTCGCTAACAGCACTTGCCCCAACAGTCCGTTAAGGCTACGCGGGGGATCTTTGTCTTCTTCTCTGTATATGTATGGTGCAAGTCTGTGTGCGTTTGTGTTGGGGGTGGGGGGGAGCGGTGTTGTGAGTAGCGGTCAGGGCACGCAACTACGAACCCGGCGGGCCCGAGTTTGACTCCCGCTCGCAGTCGACATCGGCGACGAAAAATATTCAGGCGGTGCGTAAACATCGTCCACATCGTAAAACATCATCCGAATCGTAAACATCGTAAAACATCGCCAATCGGGGATGCAAACGCGGCCGGGTGCTGTGCGCCACGCACCATCGCCTCCTGCGCGGTTTGGCAGACTTTAAGGGTGCCTGCCAGTGCGCTGGAGCAACACTTTCCCCAACAGTCTGCAAAGGCTGCATGGGGAAGGGTGAGGGCGTGGGAGAGCGAGTGTGTGTGTTGGGGTGGTGGTGGGTGGGGGGCATCTTTGCGTTTTTGTCTTTTTTGTTTGAGCGAGAGAAAGTACGATCGACGGTCATTACTCGCGGCACCCTCTGACTTTCTGAGCGAGGTTTTGCTCTTTCTCTTTTTTCTTTTCTTTTTTTTTACGATCAGAGGAAACAAGAAGATGCTCGGTGTAGTCGGCACTTTGCTCCGTTCATCATTTCGTTTTTTTTATGCTTTGCTTTGTGTAAACCCTCTCTCGTGTGTGTGTGTGCGTGTTCGTTTCTCAAATCGCGAGCTAGGCGACAACATTATGAATGGCGAGTGCCGGCCTATGTTTTGCTCGGTCGCAACGTTTTTAGGATATTTTTTTGTGCGCGTGTGTGCGTGTGTGTGTGCGCGTGTGTACGTGTGTGTGTGTACGTGTATGTGTGCGTGTGTACGTGTGTGTGCGTGTGTACGTGTGTGTGCGTGTGTGCGTGTGTGTGTGTGCGTGTGTACGTGTGTACGTGTGTGTGTGCGTGTGTACGTGTGTGCGCAAGGTGTTCAACTTTCTTCAAGCGCGTGTGCTCGCGTGCGCGTTTTAATTTCACCCGTGACATCTGACGAGAGTTTTTTTTTCATTTGAGTTTTGTTTTCACCACGGTGAATCGTTTAATTCGCGCAATGATCACGTGCGTGTGTGTGTGCATATTACGTGGCCAGTATATATTTGTGTGTGCGCGTGTGTTGTGGCGGTTATCGCGTCGCGCTGCGAACCCGGGCGACAACACCGGTGACGATTGTCGAAAACCGGTCCTGGACCTCCCTTAGGTCGACTCAGCCTAAAATGAGTACCTGGGAGAGACAAAGGCGGGCCCGGGCGTGGCGCTGCCTACCCACCCCCTCGTGTGCCGTGCGGGCCTTCATAGGTGCCGCTCGCTAACAGCACTTGCCCGATCAGTCTGGTCAAGCTACACGGGGGGGATCTTTGTCTGTGTGTATTTGTGTGTGTGGGGAGCCGGTGGTCAGCCACGGCTGACCCCGGTGGCAAACCGGTTTCCGGGCGTCCTCTCGATCAACTCGGCCTTAAATTAGATTTTGCTGCGTGCAAACAACAACACTGGGAAGACAAATGTGGCTTGGGCTTGAGCTTCACTATGGCCACAGAACCCCTTGTGCTCCATTCGGCCATAAATATGTTCTCGCTAACAACATTTATCCAACAGTCTATGTAGCCTATATTGCGGGGGGGGGGGGGGTGGGAGGGGTAGTCTGTTTATGTAAATACAGTAGTGTACATGTGTACACATGTCTATAAGGATTATTTCTTGCATAGTAGACATGACTCGGACACATATTTGCGTACGTACCCGAGTAGCTTACTTTCATGTACGCACTCACAGCTCCGTACGAGTCAGAATCAGAATATTTATTTAGACTGGAGGAATCCGATGAGCTATAAAGCTCCTCTTTTTTCACACGTTCCACTAAAAGGTCATCGACGCAGTTACCCGCGTGAGGATAATACATTACACACAAAGACAAAGATCCCCCGTATAGCCTTAACATACTCTTGGGGCAAGTGTTGTTAGCGAGCACCTATAAAGGCCGGCACGGCACACGAGGGGGTGGGTGGCCAGTACCACGCCCGACCGCCTTTGTCTCCCCAGTGGCGATGTTTACACACCGCACCAGGTAGTCATTTGAGGCTGAATCGACCTAGGGGAGGGCCCAGGGACCGGTTCAGACACTCGTCACTGGTGTTGACCGCGAGCGGGAATCGAACTCGGGTAACTGGGTTCGCAGCGCAGCGCGCTAACCGCTACACCACCGCTCATTAACGCACACACACACGCACAGATGCAAAACAAAAAAAACTCCATCAATGTTCGAGCGGCGACGACATTAACGACAAAGGGTTCACGACAATGAGCACATGTATCAACCTGTGCGCAGCCAGCGGGCCCACGTCGTCGCTCGCGACACACGAAACGTTTCCATCGGGGTGACCTCGCACGGGAAAATCCGCGAATCTGCCGCTGCTGCTTTGGCGATTGCAGCGAGCGGTGCTCCGTGAAGAGCACCCGGTCCGCTCTCGCTCGCTCGATAAGACGTTCCCCCCCCCCTCCTCCCGAGTGAGGGGTTGCCACTTCTGCCGTGCACACAACAACAACAACAACGGCAAGAACAGCAACAAAAAATGGGACGGGATCGTCAATGGGAAGATTGAGATCTCCGAATTCTGCAAGAGGGTGGCAGGATGTACAAAAACGTTGAACTTGAGTGGTGTGCATACGCTTTAGGTCTTTCGGTAAAGTCACGTAGATATGAGAAAAATAAAATAATAAGTCAGTCACGAAAGCTTTAAGTCAAGATTGAGTGGTGTTAATGTCGATATTTACATCTCTCTCAATGTCCCGAGAAGACTTTTGTCCCGGGACGGCAAGCTCAACAACAGGGACGATCCTGAGAAAGCTGGAACGGTTGGCAAAGCCGCGTCTGAGTAAATCCGCTAGCTAAACCAGAGCCTGGTGCGGTAATTGCGTCCGTTTGGCGCTTGGGCAAAAAAAAAAACATAATTTCAGATGGACGTCGATAATTTCCCGCGTTTTGCTCCGTGACGCTTCGAGCAAATGCCGCTGGCGGGCGCGTGGATGCCGCGTGAAAGCGTTGTCTGCGTGAGCTTCTTCGTATGGACCCATTGATTTGTCTTTTCCATGTTTTTTTTTTATTCCGAGTAAGACGCAGTGTGACCTCCAGAAGGAAACATCACTCCATACCCCCCCCCCCCACAACCACGCCCCCTCCCTCTTGTTGATTTGCAAGAGCCAGGGATGACCTTATCGGGTTCCTCGCTTCCGCCGTTGAAGTTGACCGTGAGCATATGTGCGTGCGTTTGCGTGCGCGCGCACGCGTGTGATTACGTGCGCGTGTGATTACGTGCGCGTGTGATTACGTGCACGCGCGCGTGCGATTACGTGCGCGTGGAGGGGTAGTCCAGCGCACCGCGCTACGAAATCCAGCGACCCGAGTCCCACTCCAGCTCACGATCAATGACAGTGGCAAATATTTAAACCGGCCTTGGGCCTCCCCTAGGTCGACTCAGCCTTAAAAGAGTGCCTGGCGCGGTGTGTGGGAGAGACAAAGGCGGCCGTGTTCACGGTTCTGACCACATCACCCCCCTTGCCACTCCCGCCGCACCGTGCACCGTGCTGGCTTTAATAGCTGCTCGCTGACGGCACTCAAAGGCCGAACAGGGATCTCTGTCTTCGTGTGTGTGTGCGTATGTGTCCACTTGCGCCGGACACAACGGCCATCGCACCACCGGGCATTATTTCCCGGTGTTGTTGTTGTTCGTCTTCTTCATCGCCTCCTTCCCAGCAGGTCAAGCATCAAACCTGCACCCTTTGCAAATGTACGCAGCTGTGCGCCAGCCTCGTGCATTCATTACAAGGCCCAATGATTGCTTCAATTTATCCTGGGATTCGACTGTTTGATGTTTCAAATTGATCCCCCCCCCCACTTCCTCCCTACAACTGCCATCCTTCTGGCCAGCAAGGCAGACTTAAGGATGTTTTACCTGTGGTTATGACCACTGCATGGCAACGCCCGTGAATCACCGCGCTCTGAAAGCATTAACAAATGTATCGTTCATTTACAAAAGGATCATATAATTAAGCACCAGATTGAGGTTCCGTCAGCGAGACCGACAGATATGATTTCGTATTTGTTTTTTAACTGTTTTATGGTATTTGTAACGTGCTTTTATCCATCATTTGTCACGACAACGTATCACTTTGTGCACGACATTGTTTGTTGCGTCGAGCAGGGCCCTATAATTTCGGTGGAGTGCTCTTGTCAAAAACATCTGGTCACCCAGTAGCATTTGTTTAACGATCCTGATTCTTTTCACTCCAGCGCTGTCCTACCAGACAGTCTCGTCCCTTCACCTGATGAAGGCCGCTTGTGTTGTGGCCGAAACGTCGTGAGAATATTATTGTGTTATTTTAGTTTATCAATTTATTATTTTATTCTCATTCTACGTGGTGACTTTACCGAAAGGACCAAAGAAGATGGATCCTGACTCTGCTGCTGAGACCCAGAAGGTGAAAACCCGTTCAGTTGCCTTGCTTAAGCAAAGTTGCTTGGC